TGTACACAGTGTGTGAATTATTGAAAATAGTGAGGCCTGAGCCTCATCTGGTAGAGATTACAGTGCAGGCATGCTGGGTGAAGGTCTGTAATTGAAAATCCCCAGATGCTGTTTATTTGGCCTGTGTCACATGACCTTCTGCAGTAAGCTTGTCTGAACAAAATGCTGCCGGCATAGGAAGCAGAGCCCAACCCCCCACCCTAAGCCTTCTCAAAACTCAGTATGTGGACGACTTAAACACCTGCCCATAATATTTTTAAGAGCTTAAAATAGATTTGCCCATAACGTTTAAATAGAGGATGTCTTACTTATGGGTTTAAACTGCTTAACCAGTTGTTGACTTATAGAGCTCTTTTATCTACAAGAGGCTTTTTGTTAGCTAATTTAGCTTTCAAATGTCTTCAGAAAACACCACAGAAACTTTTTGTGCAAGTGCTCCCACCGCCTAATGTTATTCTGACAGGATGGAGTGGAAAAGTTTAAGACTTGGTCCTGCAATGTGCTGTGTGTTCCCAGAAGGTGCTGAGTGTGTCCAGCCCTCCTGCCATCAATAAGGAACACTCAGAACTGAAACTTTTGATAAAAAGAGAAAAACAGAGCCCAGCCCAGCTGTTGCTGAAGTCTGTGGAAAGATTCCCATGAAATACAGTGAGATCCAATCGAGACTGGCTGCACCACAAAACAAAGACACTAAGTCCTGCTCGCCTCTCTCCTACGAATGGTCCCAGTAAAGCTAGTGAAAGAGCTTGCATAAGGTGATCAGTGTTTGGCATGCTGTCTTTCATTGGGAACGGTTCCCACAACATTTCCCAAAATGAGGCCTCCTATAGAGGTGTCACGTTGGACATCCAAAAATTCAGGTACCCCCAAACCAGTATGCTCTGCTGAAAATCTTGTTCAGGATGAAAAGCTTGTTATGGTTATGAGGCTTTAGTAGATGAAATGTTTACATTATTGGATATTAAACGTGTGTGCAAGGTGCTTAAAAGTACTTTGTCGTGCTCCACTCCCAAGGGCTTGGGGCAATTAACAGCATGTAGCCATTAAAAAAAAAGGATCTCCACTTATTTGCTCATTACTTGTATTTTGCTGCTGAATATGAGAATTTCTTTCTTTTAAATTAGTGACTGATTTTTCAGGTTATTAAATGGTTTAATTTTCTATGTTTAATTTGTTATTTATTGTTATTATATGGATTTAGAAGTCATCTATTACTGTGAGCTCTGAGTGCAGTGGTTTTATTTGTGTCATTACCATTTCAAATGGGGGGGCCAAAACACCATGCTGCCTTGCATCTAGAAAACCAGAAGGTGCAATTCACCACCATGTTGCTCCAGTTTAATGCTGGCATAACTCCACTGATTTTAGCATAATACTGGAGTGCTACATCAGGGCCAGAGAATGGAAAGCGACCTGGCTTGACAGTTTAAGGGGCCAATCCATTACGGATGTAAATTGTTTTAGCTCCATGGCAGCTGATCATTGGTCTCAGAGAAGCCATAGAGTGCATTGGGGGGGCGTGTGTGTGTGTGAGAGAGAGAGTGTGAGTGAATGCCAGCTGAATTGCCAAGTGTGAATTATGAAAAACCCTTGGGATTTGAGGGACTATTAGAAGTTTGATCATAATTTAAAAACACTCTGTTCTCCAATCATGGGTATCTCTACATTTGTGGGTGTGCAGGCATGTAAATATATACTGCAAAAGAATACCTGCTTGTGCCACAACTATTAAGAATTTTGTTTTCACCAAAAAAATGCTTTTACATAGTGTTACAATTGCAAGTTCATCTCTCACTTCCCCCAACCATAAAAAATTTCACTTGACTCATACACAATCTCCCTATAATAGAGCCCTCAACAGTTCCGAATTTTGTACTTACAGTATGTTTGTGCTTGCAATAAAAATCCCAAATTAGAAGTTTTACAGTGCAGTTTTTATTTTAATATTTTTAGAACATTTAACCCTTTGGCTCCTTTCCTTGGTTATTTCAGTTTCCTGTAAGATTTTGTGAGGACAGTAGTGGTACAAGGAGTTTAGCTGTAGTTATCAACTTATATTAAAAGAAAAAGCTGTTTCCTAAATCTGTATCTGAAAATATGGAGGTGACTTCCTAGTAGTGCTGATTTATAAGTAAAACAATATGTATATCAACAGGGTTGAAAGTCTCCTTTTCCATGGAATCTTTCCTGGGCAAGTGTTGTCAACTTCCACATAATTTTTCAGTTAGAAGTAAAATCAAATCACTAAGTCTCGTAATTGTAAAGGAAATCTTCTAAATCTGATCCATATTAACTAAAATCGTAAATGTCTTCCTTCCGCTACAGAGGGCACTTCAGTGTGATGCTTTTGTATGCAAGAGGAGTTGGGGTGTGGAGGAGTGAGTGGGTCCTATCTCTACTGTTTTAAAAGAAGGGCATACAAGGCTGTGAACCGCAGCTTGGAGCTGTGGTCCAAAGTGCCATACCCACGAAAGAAGCAGAGCCTTTGAGCCTAGCAATGATCTTTGAGGGGTTTGACTCTTAAGTTGATATGCTTGAAGGGGGGTTGCTAACCTCAGATCTCCCTGTTGCTTGAGATGATGGTGGAGGGGGACCTCTCCATAGCAGGCAGGAAGCCTTCTTAGCTGGTCTTGAGGCAGGCAGAAGCCTCCTCGCTTATCCTTTTCCTGCCAGCTATTTTGGGTTGGCTGCTGCTGAGCCTGGAGGAATAGTTAATATGAAGGCTTTAAACTGTGATTTGGAGAGGTCTAGTTCTTTTCATGTGCCAGACAATATTTATCTTGCTTTGTTTGAAGCCTAAAAAATGGTGTTCAGGTTTCTCAGGTGACAATGGCTACACTCATATTAAACTCTTTATTGAGACTTAAATGAGTCTTCCACTTTGGTTAGACTTGGAGCACATTTTTCAGTGCTTGAAAACCATGGCCAATAGAAAATCTGTAAGACTGCAGTCTTGATTTACCTTATCTGCTTGCTCTCTGTTCTTAGCATGGTAAGGGAGAGATCATGTTACCCCTGCTTGATTTACTCTGCTTAGGGTAGACTTGAGCTTATGTTGTGTGAGTTAGCTATCCAGACCCTTCAATGGGCCAGCTACCTTGTGGTTCGGATTTTCAGTTTAATTGCTGCTTTTCAGATTGACCAATTTGGATACTTTTCTGGAGTTGTGATTCTAGTAATTTACAGTTTCTGTTTATTAATGAGTTTGTGCATTCTGATTATTGAAACCTTGCTTAGAGAAGTGGGTGGATAGCTCAGGCTGAATCCTCAGTTCTGCTGAATTCACGCTCTGTGGCTCTAAGCCAGCTGTATATATACTCCCCTTGCTCTCAGGCTGGCAAGAAGTCAAAACATGGTCTGTGGTATCTAGCTGAAAATGGCATCATGGTTCAGAGTGCTGGCATACACTGGTCAGATGAATAGATTTAGTTCTTGGTTTTGTACATGTTGAGTAAAGTTTCCAGCCTCTATATACCAGCGCTATTTTCATTCTAAAATCTAATATGAGAGTGTGCCTAGTACTGGTATAGAAAACTTGCTTTAGAAAAGCATTAATCTTCTAGAATATTAGTAAAGGGACTTATTTTAAATGTATTTATACCTAATAATTTTTTTGTATGTAGAAATGCCTGATTCAAGTACACAGATATAGGTGTGTATGTAACTGTTTGCTCATGTAACATTTGACTCTTAAAATACGGCCTTATGAGTCTTTGTAAAGAGTCACTCACATTGCATTACCCCTGTAATGACTTATTCCAGATAATAACTCTTAATGTGCTGCAGATCCAAACTAAAGGGGAAGAGAAAGAGAGTGAATTTTATATGTATGAATTTCATACAGTATTTATCTATTTACAAGCACAGATAGCCAATGAACTACAGAAGATACAGGAAGGCTCTACTCAGGGAGACACTCTCCCCCCTCCATTTAGAGAACAAGACAGAAGAAAAATAAAAATACAGTCCAGTAAGCTAATAGTGATACATGTTCTGTTTAGGAAGTACCCATTGAAAAATAGATGCCTTGTTAAAAAACTGCCACTCTATCCAACAACAGTGAACTAATATGAACAAGAAAACAGCTATGAACACCCTCTCAGCACACACCCTGCCAGTTAACTTGAAAATGACTTGGTGGATGGTAGAACTTGATTTCTCAAAGTCAAACGTTTAGCCTTCTCTTACAGTATTATCTTTAGCCACCTTATTCTCACTACACCCACATTTCATTTTGGGTATGTTGAATACAAATAGACCTTTTAACTTTAACTTAAACATACCATCTTTTTATCATGTCCCAATTCATGCAGATTATGGAAAGTATAAAGTGAAAATTGGACTTCATGTAGACTTCACTGACCACCTTGTGAGCAATATTTAAGAAGGAAATTATTTTAAAATAAGTTTGCAGTTTAGTTGGCTAGGAACAAAGCCTTCCAGACATTTTAGAAACTGAAATGCTGACTGTTTCAAACAGGTTTAACATAACATGTAATTCTGAGTTATGAAAGTTAGGTAGAGAAAGGTATAGTAGATCCTTTTGAAATTAGCCACTTCTTCAGGTGCCTGACAGTATAGACCCAGGTTTTGGCCCATGTGACTTGGCAGGCAGGCAGTAATAGAATCTGGGAAATCTGCAGCAAGTCTTGACCCTGTGGGACTCTCTTTCCTCAAACAGGGGGGTTCCAGTATTGCAGCCAGTAGAGAGCATGAACCCAACCGCTGGTGAAGAGACATGTCTCCCCAATATCTGGATCTACCTGAGATGGTGGTATTCATATGTCTGTACAGCTTGAAAGGAATGTATTACATTCCTAATGTCCAATTTGCAGTAGAAAGAGAAAAATAAAAGATAAAAAATATTGAAGAATGCCACTTTTGCCTATGAAAAAATATATGAAGTAAAATGACATTATCATCTCATTTGCCATTTGAGAGCAATACATTTGTGTACTTGTTGCTGTTTGGGCCTCATTGTAAATACTTTTTTGTTTCAGGTAGGAATGAATTGATAGCCAGATACATCAAACTTAGAACGGGAAAGACACGGACCAGGAAACAGGTAAACAATCCAATGGGAAACTATGCATGTCAGAGAATGACAAAATGTGGCATTTTTGGCTGCAGTGGCTGTCTGTGCTTCAGCTCTGATGAGATGATATGTTGAGTTCATGACTGCGCTGCTTAAAAAAAAAGTTATTGTTTGTGATGTTTTCATCATTTCAGTGACCATTATTAGGCATATTTTAAATTAACTTTCATACATATGTAGCTGTTATTCCCTGAATGTGAAAAGAATGTTTTGTAAGTCAAACTACAAACAAAGCATCTTGCATTACTCTTATATAAAGAGGATGATAGAATGTAGTTATTCTGATATGATCAATAATGGTACAACCAAATATCTGGTTCAATATCTAGTTACTTCATCTAAGTAGCCTTAGATGTGTGGTGGGGGGGGGAGGGCAAAAGGGGAAAGGATTCGGAAAACTTGTTTTACTTATTTGCCCCATTCCTGATCAGTAGTTGTTAGAGAGGGGAAGAAAAGAGTTGTCTGAAAAGATACTTTGTTCTCTTGATCTGTAACCACAGGAAGATTTCATTCATAAGCAAGTCAGCATAAACCCCTAACTAGTCTTTAGTCTGTTTCAGATTATTATTACATATTCATTAAGTTATCTCATATGACTAGATCCTTTACTTTTTATACCCACAATGATTAGCCATCTTGCAGATACACACTTTAATCTTTGTGTAGTTTATGTTTTGGTTACTAGTGTGCTAGTTTTTTAAAAAGCTAGCAAATCACAGAATCCCACTCCCTTCTTTAATTTTGAGCGTTAGATTGTAGTTCTTCCCCTCAGTGCGTCTTGCAAAGGCTTTTACCCATGCATGGTATGCATGTTTTGTAGCATGTAATGCTGACTCAACACAAATAAAGATGTCTGCTGCCAGGGCTCACATTTAAAGTGCTTTGAATTGGGTGACATTTTCACTTTGGTAATGTCATTTGTCAAGTAGGAAGAAACTTAAAGAACAAAAAAACCCCATGAGAAATGAGAGAAACTGCAATAAGTAGAGAAGGTATAAACAATACATAGGCAAAGAAATCCAAAAATCCAAAGTTCTGCTTTCTCATGCCTGTGCAATCTTCATTAGCTTGGGAGTTGCACAGGTGTAACTGAGAGTGCAGAATGATTGGAAGCCTTAAACTACATGGCCTGGATCCTCAGCTGTTGTAGGGGTGTGGACAGATGTAACAATTAAAACGTTTCAGATGCCTTTGAAATGTTCCAAAGGGTCAGCAGGACACACATACAAGCCCTTTGAAACATTCCAAAAGTGGCTGAAACCCTCTAAAATAGTACCTCCCAAAATGAAGTACTATTTTGGAGTGTTGCACTTGTTATGCCTGATCAGGGAGGGAGGGAAATAGGGGTGGACAGCCTCCCTATCTGGCTCTGAGTCCTGGGGCACTGTTGGGACCCTGCTGAGACCTGGGCACTCCCTCCCCTTCCCCCACTCCTCTTTTTAAGGGCACCTTTTCAAATTAACATTCAGCTACTAAAAAGGCCAACAGTATAGT